CTAAGGCTCCTATGGAGCAGGGAGTAGGGACACTGGACGGCGCCGAGTGCGTGTTCCCACTGGTCTCAATGAGACGTAAACCCTTTGTGGAGAGGTGACGGCGAAGCTGTTGGATATCTGCAAGACGCATGGCGTCGACATCGACCTAGGGTGTTTCTACTGAAGACGATAGTGCACAGCTATATACCCTAGTCAATGGTATGATTGGAGAGGAAGACGGCGACGTCACCCTTGAGGATATCCCCGCGGTGGATGCTATTCTTGAGCTAAACGAAATGGCCTTCGAAGAGTTTGGCGGTGTTTTGAAGGCTGGCAATTTAGCCGATTCGGTCATTATACGACCCAACGAGGAGATTATCTCGTCGCTTCTGGATGAAGCTGTCCTGGAGGAAACTAAGTAGGTGCTGAACGCACGAAGTGGATCGCCGATCCTGAAGAATTCCTCGGATTCGTAATATCCTCTGGAAATAAATTTCAAGACGTCGTTTCTAAAACCCTGCCGTTGGTCCAACCTCTGGACCGAGGTGTGCGTCATGAGATTGACCTGGTTCCCGGAACCAAATACTGCATAGCACGCCAATGCCCCCTACCCAAGAAGCAGTGTGACGTATTGACGCTTTTTATTCGTTCAAAGCACGGCGCAGGAATGGTGCTTGAGTGTAAGTCTCCCCATTCGACACCCACGTTTTGAGTCCGAAAGCCGAAAAGTACGTGGCGTATCGTTCACGCATACAATAAGCCAAACGCTATCACCATTCCGTCACAGACGCCATTCCTAGGAAGGATGTTCTCTAGAACAATATGGTGGCTGTATAAAGTGCAGCGCACTCGACTTGATCGATGGGTATTGCCAATTGCTCATGAGAGCGAGTGATGTTTCGCTGACAGCGGTGAGTATTCCGAGTGGGATTGCTTAGGAGTGGCTGGTGATGCCCTAAAAGCTGTCGAATGCACCAACAACATAAAATTGTCTTGTGACGCAATTGTTCAGGCGCCACAGGGCGTATACACAGACATGCTTTGACGACATTTTCGTTCACAGTCATGCGGAGCATGGGAGAACAGATGAGCAAGACCACATCGTTCATTTGAGAGTGGTAATTAAGTGATGCGCACAGATAAGGTGTATGCTAATGCCGATAAGTGCATCTTCGACGCTGAAGATACCCTTTTATTAGGGTGCTTCACTGGGTAGCGTGACCTTCGCGCGGATCCCGCGAAGGTCAAGGCGATTGTGGAGCAGCCGGTTCTAAAGAACCAAAAGAACTTGCGCAAGTGGCTTGGCGGATCCAACGACTTGCACAGGTACAGCGAGAATTATGCGGAAATGGCACGGCCGCTGTCGAATCTCCTCAAAATGGATACGGAATAGTGTTGGGACATCGAGCATCGAGAGGCTTTTGACAGGGTCAAAGATAGCCTCCTTCTACACCAATAGTGGCGCCGCCAGACCCCGATCGTCCTTTTAGTGTCGACTGTGACGCTTCAGACTTTGCCGTCGGCTACGCACTGCTCGAAGCAGACGCCGAAGGGCGAGATAGGGTGATCGCGTTCGAATCTCGCCAGCTTAAGGCTGCAGAGAGGAGCTACCCAGTCCACGTCAAGAAATTATTTGCGATGAAGTATGCACTTGCCAAGTTCAGGTTGCACTTGTTTGGCTCAAAGCCGTTCGTGATCTACATAGATCAGGCGTCACTACGCACTGCGACTCAGTCGCCTCACCTCTCGCAGAGAATGGCCCGGTGGCTCTCCTTCTTCACAGAAGATAGTTTCGAGGTTAAGTAAACATGCAGTCTCTGCTGTCTTTAAGACAAAGCTCCAACCGCACTTTCTAAGGTCAAGACCTTATCCCAAGCGAGACCTTGCGTATTCGCTGAGACTTCCGAGAAGGATGCACACCCACTCGGTGTTTCTATTTGGGCTTGCTTAAGCCGAGCCGGGATCCGGCGCTTAAAGGCGCTCGGCCACATAGAAGCTGCACCAGCAACTGGTTCTGAGTACTTTTTCGCTTTTCGCTTCCGTCCTACGAAGTGACGTAATCGTCTGCTCGACGGTTAAGAGCCGCTACGACAGAGCGCGATAATCCTCAACGTTAGGCAGTCGGTGCACAAAGTGCCCCAGGCTCTCGAAGTCTTCCACACAGCGGTAGGCAACCTCGGAAAGATGCTCGGCAGTGCCGATGACGACAGACCTTGTTCTCTAAAGCTCGATTTTCATCACGAGGCATCGGGCGGCGATCGACCAAGTCATCATCGCCCGCCGCCGGCTCTTCTCGATGAGAATGGTGGCGTCTACTACCACATGGAACGCCCGGTGGGTCGACGTCGTCGACAGGGTCTAACCCAATACCTCGTGAAGTGGCGGGGATACCGCGACTACGAGAACTTGCGGGAGTTCAATGTGCCACTTCGGCAAGACTGCCCAGACGTCGAGGACGCTTATGATCAGAAGGGTCATCACACTTCGCGTTGTCGCGCGCCCCGTGCTTCCCGGCAGTAGCTCGAGAAGCCGAAGGGTCATAAGCAGGGCTCAAGCTATGGCCCTGAGCTGCTATGAACGTAGACTCACCCGTCTGGGAATCCACAGAGCTCGCGGAAGTGTGATGGATGACTCCATGTGTCGCAGGGCGGCAATACGCAGGAGGTCGGCGTTGCACCTTGAGCGCGGCAGATTAAAATATGAATAGAGCTCTACGCGAACGTCCGCTTCCTTGTGGCTTCGCTTCAAGGTAGAAAGCAAGAAAACGTTTTGGTGCCGCTTCACCCATCGCTAAAAACACCACAGATAGTCCGCATTGCGGGTACAGAAGCGCCTCCTATTTAGACTCGAAGTCGAACGTGGTACCCATCCTTTGGGATTTCTTGTGGTACCAAAAAGCGAGCTTGGAGAGTTCTTCGCTGATCAAGCTCAGCATGTGTAGTGGCCGGGGGCCCGACTACGTTGAAGCCCAACGATCAAGTGATCGTGTCTTTCACTTCAGAAGCGGTATCCCGCCGAGCGGAAGCCATACTCCACACGAGGGTCGGAACCGAACGTGGATATAAGCGCATGACTGCCGCTCTGTGAGCAGCCTCCAGTTGCTGCTCCTGTGCTTCGTCGAGGCGATTGGTAACTATACCACTACGCCCGGAAGTCGAGAGGTCGGGGAATGGACGAGGTGTCCGCAAGGTTCGAGCTGGGCCCACGTCGCACCGTTTGGCGCACCTCGTCCTCCTCGTCTTACCATGCTGGGAAAGGTGATCCCGACTCGTAGTCGACTCCCTCCAATTCCTTGACGCGGAAGTCTGTCACCCGGGGTGGGCGCGGTGTGTGGCGCTCGGTTGCCGA